GGCTTTAGGTCATTTTAGGTGGAATAAAGGGCACTTGGTGAGAGATGGCTGCTGTGCTGTTGGTTGTGGGGCATAACTTGATTGCGAATGTCCATGCCCCTCCGTTCCCTCTGTGGTTATACTGTGGCATTAGTGGTCTGTGACTATTGCTCCCCGTCCTTTTCTAGTCAGCTGTCATAGAAATGAGGGGGTTTGAAGGAAAATGATACCCCTAAGAAGTTTGTAGGCCAGTTGAACTATTGTAAGACAGTTAAAAAAGCTGAGCTTCTTGGTTCTTTTTTTTTTTTTTACTGGTAAGTACTGTGCATGCTTCAAGGAGAAGGTGTAATTAACTGTTTTCTCCTCATCAAGGAGTGCTGCTGGCTGCATAAAGTGAGAGGGAAAAAAAATCCACTGGGTAGTAATTAGGGCAAAATATCCTTTCTTGTCCCTCTCTCACTGTTTACAAGAGCACCATAGCGGGCGTATTGAACTGCAGGTCAGAAGCTTTAAGAGCAGACAATAATTACAGTTAACTTACCTGGGTTCTTAACTGCTGTGTATCTCTGTGGGCTATAGGGATTGTTCTTGCTTTTTAACACCAGCTTTGAATTACAGTATTCCTCTTCTTTATTTTTCGAGTTAGCAATACAGTTAAATGGTACAGAAAGAAACTCAACTGGGCAACTCCGGAATTTTGAGCAATGTCCAAGAAGACAGGTGGATGTGGCAGGGGGTTTAAATAATTGATTTAAACAGGTTTTGGATATCTCAGTGTGAGAAGCAGAAGTTTTCCATATGCCTTTTTTTTTGTTTCCCTGTAAGGATGCTTTCAGGATGCTGCCAGCTGCAGGGAAGACTTGATAATTTTTCCTAAACATGGGCTGTGAGTTGCTGTTAGCTACAACCATATACTCAGTGGTGGATTCTGCCTGTGCCAGACAGAAGGTGGGGAAGAGGAAAGTTTCAAACATCAAGGTGCAAGTGGAGATCCTGTAAATAGTGTTAGTGTGTGCAACCTCCCTGCCTGTCTTCTGGAAGTGCTGTCTCAGCAGTGCAAAGCCTGGGCTTTAACGTAAACGTTGGTGTACGTTGCTAGTCCAAGTTGTGAAATGTTTAGCAAGTGTACTCTCAGGAGTTTGCAAATGTGCAGTGTTTGTGGTGCTTCTGCCTGGGAATATGTAACTCTAGGCGGGAAAGCAAATCAGCCTGACTTAGTGGACAGCTTTATTATAAAAGGGGAAACGTTTTATTTCTCTCAGTCCAGGATGTAGAATTTGAAGGTAGAGTTTGTGCTGCCTCTACAGCCAGGCTTCTTCCCAGTTGCCTGGAGAGTACCTGAGAGGGAATCCTCTAATCCGAGGATTTTCTCCTGTCCTGGAGTGTAATTGCTTACAGCTTTCCTTCCCAATTAGTGGTTGACTAAACCTCTTTAAAACCAGGTACTACCTGCTTTGCTCCCTGGATGGAGGGGTTCCTACTGTAGGATTGCATCTTCAGTGGCTGCTTCAGAAACAAGCACTGGTATGAGCTCTGGCATAAATAAGAATATGTGGCAGAGGGAATGCTGCATGCTGACCTGGAGAGGTACACCCAGCTGACTCAGGTGTGGGCAGGGCTGTGTGCCATGTTTAAAGGTGGGCTGGCAGGCTCCTGGGTTTTTAAAAACACTTGTTTCCTCAGGTGGTTACCTGTTAATGCCAGGCATGGGCCGAGCGTAGTCGCTCATGTGTTTGTGATCTGGCAAACCCCTTTAAGGAACACTGTGGATGGACCTGTGGGTCACAAACTGAAAACACAGTGAGCTGTTTACATACCATGCACAATGATGGTTTTATAGTCTATTGTTATATCAGAACTTCATATCAAGTAGATGGTAATGGCAGTGATCTTTAACCTGGCCACCTTCTGTGTGAAGGACAGAGTCTGCAGGAAGTCCTGGTCTCTGCTGAGGCCAAGAGGAGCAGAATAGGAGGATGAAACTGTAATGGAAATTTGAAATGTTGAAATTTCATAGTGACCACTTCAGCCACTACTTCAACCCTACTCTGGGTAGCAGCAGAGTGACGGTAGCACTTGAGAGGTGCCTTGAAAACAGCTGGCAAAACTTGAAGGCATGAACTTGGTTAAAATGATTTAAAACTGTTAGAGAAAGAATGGTAAGCCTTTGCAGTGCTGAATAAAAAACTGTTTAGCAAATGAGGCATCAGTATCTGGTAAAGATCAGTGACTTTTTGGCTTGTTGAAGTAATTGACGTCCTTTTTACCTGGCTCTGCTTAAGACAAATAGAGAATAAGAGCTATCTCATGCAGAGAAACCTTGATTTCACCATACCCGTGCTTCTCAATTTCGGTGTATACTGCAACCTGTAGTATGTCTCAAGTCCTCATCACTCCACTACTTTCTTAACCTTCGCTCTGTGTTAGATTAACTTAAACCAACTGGTGCATAGCAACGTTCATGTGTTACAGCCAGCTTGGCTTCAGTAAGTATTAAAAGACATCAATCTTCCTTCCACTTGTAAATTGGTGAGCATTTCGGGGGAAACAGTTCTTAATGGAAACTTCAGGCTCTGTTAACGATGACCCTGGCACTGAGTGGCTATGTTTGCTGGCTCTGATTGCTTTTTCTCAACTATTTTGACTCTGTCACTTCTGCAATCAAACTGGTATGAAGAAGAATAGCTTAGGGAGCAGTGGTCTTGGGTGACTGTCATGTTAGGAGGTAGTCTTCCTATTTTAGTTCTAATTTGTGATGTCCTATTGCAGGCAGAGGAGCATTAGATCCTCGTTGATTGCTGCGCTTTTTGGAGGCAAGGCATTGGGAGAGTGCTGGAAAAACCACATCTGGTCCTATGAGGAATAACAGTTTTTAGCATGATACAGAGAGTGGGACGATGTTATACAGCATGACTAGAAGAGGGCGATGAAGTTAAAACGGTTCATCACTGGTGGGGAGAAACCAGCCTCAGACACTCATGAAACCATAAGTCTTTGACTCTTTTTTTTTTTAAAGGCCAGCTAATAGAATACAAAGATGCCTAATTTTCCTGTTATTAATCCACCATTGTTGGCTAAGTTTGGTCTTAATTTATTCTGACTAAACAGTGCTTTGAAACTGAACTTCTAACTCGGAAACAGTGACTTCAGCACCTGAAGTCGGTGCTACTCAAGACAAATGATGTGCAGAAAAGAGTCTGCCAGGGTGGAAGAGGGACAAGTGTGCGTTAGTTATTTTTGAGGCTTCTTTTGAGGAACAGAATTGGTGACTTGGTTTGGAGAGTAGCATTCTGGTTTTATTCTTTTTTTCTTTAAATCGTGTTTATACAGACGATTTGGTGGAATATATAAACCAACTCATCTTAAATGTGAGGTTGGACAAACCTTTCAAGGCGTCCGTGTTTTCCAGTTTGGTCATTTGGAGGGGGATTCCATTGGCATGGGCCACAGCTTCCCCTCTGTGGGCTTAAAAAAAATAAGTGTTTAGTTAAGAGGTGTCTCCTTCCTATTTTTAAATATCTAATGGGGTAAAAAAAGTTAGTATTCTCTAAAATGAATGACAGAAGAGGGGAATGACTTCTGTGATGTGCTAACGAGGGGAGAAATTGAGGTGATCCCCTCCCCAGCTCAGCCAAGCACTGCTTATTTCAGTCTGATCTGGGTTTTTGATCTTGGATTCACAAAGATTCATACTTTTCAGAAGTTGTTAGTTTATTAATAGCTTGTTCTGTGGGAGCTGCCTTGTTGGCAGAAGGTGGGAGGAGGTTGTTTCTGAAGAAAACAAAGGCTGGTGGAAACCTCTCTGAACTGAGATTGGTGTGGAACTTACAGGAGTGAGAGGAGAGTGTTTGGATCTCTGTAAGGGCTTGAAGGCAAGGTGAAGCTTGTGACACAGCTGATAATGCAGGCTGTGACACTGCTGGCCACGGCATCTCCCTGGATAGCTGGCTGAGACCTGAAGATGAGTATGTATGAGTGTATCTTACCACCTATCAGGGGTGGCAGCCATAGGGGCCACTGGAAGTAAGATACACCTCTCCTCTGCTTCGTTTGTTTCATTTTCATTTCAAACATGTCACAGCCACTTGATGAGACAGATTTTTTCCACTACCCATCTCACTGAATTCCTGTGTCTCTTGTCTTGCTCAGGTTCCTGTGGAGCACCGCTTGCTTGCACATCCTTTTCTTCAGCTCCCTGCTTGGTCCTTGGCGATCCCTCCCAGAGAACTGGCTGCGCTTTGGTCACTAACTAGTATTGGAAAAAACCTAAACCCCATGTTTCTGTTTGTTCCTGTGTCTTCCTTATGAGCAGTCTCATATTCTGCCTTTCCTGTCTTCTCCTTTGACTTTGTAACACCGTGCTTGACTGTTGGTTCTCTTTCAGTTGCACCATATTTTCATCATGCTTTTCAGCAGCCTCAGCCCTGCCAGCTCCCTGGCAGTGCTCTGCAGGCACACCCCCTCATTGGCACCTTCTTTCTCCTCCTCCTCCTCACTAATTCTTGTTCTCAGAACATCATTACTATTTCTGTTCTACTCTGCCTCTTTGCTTTTTTTTTTTTAATTATAGATAGCTATTGGCTGAAAAAGGAAGGATAAACTAATTTTGGTGTAATTCATAAATTACCTTATGTTGTTCCTGTAAAAAACAGGTTTTTTTATGTTCTATTTGAGATCTGGTACAGATGGTTAGGAGGTTCTTCTGGAGCCTTTGCTTGTTGAAGGTGATCTGTCTTTGTTTGGGTGGTTTGCAACTGTTGGAAGCTTCAAGAGTGAAGGCTTACCTGGTTTCTAATTGTAGCAAGCTGCAGCATCATTCTGAGGTCAAAGAACTGTTGATTGCCCTTGTGATCTTTATACTGCCTGGTTGCTGTTGCACTTGTGTGTCCTCTTTCATTTTACAAAGAGAAAGTATTACCCGAGTGTGATTAGGTGGCTGCTTTGAATTAATATTTTCCTTCTTTTTTTAAGATAAAAAGACATCTTTGTGATTTTTGGCTTTGTTTTGTTTTCAGCCCCATCTGTTTTGATATGATTGAAGAAGCCTACATGACGAAATGTGGACACAGCTTCTGGTAAGGTTTTTTTTTGTATTGTGCAAAATGTCCATCCCTTACAGCGTGTGAGGACCAACATTGCTGTGAATCCCTTCCCTTCCGAGTTTTTGCTACTTTTCTGTCTTCTGTCCCTGCACTGAAGAAAGAGGTTGAAATAAAATTTTAAAAGATGAGTATCAGTTAGTTTTAAAAAAAAAAAAATCTTCATAGTGCTTAAAACAAAAAATGTTGTACCACTCTATTTCCTCTGTAAAGAAATAAAATGGTTATAAACTGCTGGTGGCGTCCAGAGCCCAGAGTCAGAACAGTCAACTTATCTGTGGCAATGGAAGGTGTCTTTTACCACCTGAACCAGTGGATCCCACCTCCGTAGAGGTCAGGTCATGGGAGTGAGTGTCGGTGTTGGGAGGTCCTCCTTTTGTGCAAGACCATGTACAGTTTGAAATGGCTTGCACGTTGTCTGTTTTAATTCAACTTTTTAAGAGAGGATACGCTTCACGTTTTTCTGTTGCATTGAATTGGCTTGAGGTCCACTGATTTTTTTCAGTGTGTTGTCTTTGGCTGTCACGAGGAGTAAATGTTTCATGGAGAAGGACAGGAACCCTCCAGGGGCAGGTGTGGAACAATCCGCTGCTCCTGCTCTAAACTAGGGATTGGAATAAACGTTGAACCATGATGTTTTAATGTCTTGTTGAAATTATACCCTTATGGTATCTGCTACCTAGAAATACATTGCCTACCTTTTACAAGAAGTAATGTTTTAGTAGTGTAAAGCATTTTCTCAAGCAGCATTCAGTTAACTTTCAGAAATGTTTGACCTGCAACAGGTAAGATAAGAGCTGATTTTGTGCCCTGTATGTTAACGCTTTATCCCTGTGATCTGTAACTTTAAGAAGTCCAAGATGAGAAGCATTCAAATATCTTTATTTAGAAAGAACAAAGCAATTTTGTCACATAGAATCATAGAATGGTTAGGGCTGGAAGGGACCTCAAAGATCATCTAGTTCCAACCCCCCCTGCCATGGGCAGGGAAATCCTCCACTACACCAGGTTGCCCAAAGTCTCATCCAACCTGGCCTTGAACACCTCCAGGGCTGGGACATCCACAACTTCTCTGGGCAACCTGTTCCAGTACCTCACCACCCTCAATGTAAAGAATTTCTTCCTTATATCTAACCTAAATCTGCCCTCTTTCAGTTTAAATCCTTTGCCCCTTGTCTTATCACTACACGCCCTTGTAAAAAGTCCCTCTCCAGCTTTCCTGTAGGGCCCCCTTTAGGTACTGGAAAGCTGCTATAAGATCTCTCCGGAGCCTTCTCTTCTCCAGGCTCAACAGCCCCAACTCTCTCAGCCTGTCTTCATAGCAGAGGTGCTCCAGCCCTCAGATCATCTTCGTGGCCCTCCTCTGGACCCGTTCCAGTAGCTCCATGTCCTTCTTGTGTTGGGGACTCCAGAGCTGAACACAGCTGTCTGAACAGCTGAGCTGAACACACATGTCTCTACCAACAGTCCACGTGGAGCTAGGTTCTTAGTGAGATGCTTAAACTCAATGCTGAATTGCATCTTGTAGTTACTCCATCCCTCAAATAGCAAACAGCTCAACAGGGAGCACCCCTGAAGTCACTGCTGGTGAGAGCAACAGCCAGGGATGGGGGAGGAAATGTGAGAAGTTGGTGAAGGTTTCTTCTGTTGTCAATTAGCCAAACACTCATCAAGCAACATGAAAAGCTGTGACACATTTTGGATAATCTAGAAGAGTTGCTTCTGAATGATGCATTTTGTTAGCTCTGCCTGTGGAAGAGGGGTATATATTTGAGATTGAAGTTTGGCTGAAGTATCTGCGTTGTCACAATCCTCAGGGAAATATGAGTGAAGTACTTCAAATACCTTTTGTAATCCTTGCCAAGAAACTTTCTTTTTGCTGTAGCACAATCTGAGTTAATATTGGAATGTTTTGACTCTGCTGTAGGATCTTGGCAATGCAGCTGTTAGCTGGTAACACAGAGTACACCTTATCTAAGGTTTATGTTATTTGCCATGTGTTTATGTTTTCTTCCTTCATGTTTGCTCACTTGTTTTGCTTCTTGTTTTTACTGTTTTTAAACAGCTATAAATGTATTCACCAGAGCCTGGAGGACAATAACAGATGTCCCAAATGCAACTATGTTGTGGACAACATAGATCATCTTTATCCCAACTTCTTAGGTGAGCTCTAGACTTGCTTGCAGGAGGAACATCTTAGTTGTTAAGGAAGGCAGGCACTTGTAAATTTGTCCTGTAAATAACTGGCTTCTGGATGTTGAAAATAAAATCCAGACATCAGCCCTTTGGTCAACTGTGGCTTTTATAAAAAAAGGTTAGTAGTATGAATTGTTAATACTGCACTGCCTCCAGCAGTTCCGTATGCTGAGTTACAGTAGTGAGACTGTCTTGCTGCTGTTTGCCTACTAAGAAAAGCAAAACAAAGATGTTTTTCTGATGGCTGGAGATCTGAAACTCTTTATTTACTTGTGTTTTCTTGCACTGTTGTCTATACAATAATCAAGAACATGCCCTGTTTACGAAGCATGGATGCTGAAGGAGGGAGGCTGAATTACATATTGTACTATTTTGGCTACTGCAGTGAAGTCCATGTGATATATATGTGTGTACATCATATAGAGAAAAAATATTCATACAAATGCATGTATGCAGTCCTAATTGATTGTTTCTTACACAGAGGAGGGAAATGTTCCTGAATTGGAAATAGTCTAAAACTTTGTTAAGGGGAGAAAAGATCAAAGGAAACACATAGCAGTGTGAAATATCAAAGTTAAATAAAATCTTCATTTCATATGCTGAGATATCACTTTAATAGTAAATAGATTAAAAGCCACAGTAGCCAAGGCATACTTCAGAAACGAGCATCCTGATTAAGACTCAAGCATATGCCAAAGGTGGTGCTAAGGCAGGTCTTGGAGGATGTGTTGTGCCATAGAGCGTTGCTTCCAAACACCTACATTCAGAGTTTTCGGATCTGTATTGGGAGGGAAAAGAGATGTGAGGAGGGGGAAAAGCTTGTATATGTGTGTGACAAGGGTTGAAGTTATCTTTCTGTCTCTGCACCATTCATTAAATTGATGTGAAATAAAACTGTAGTAAGAATGTATTTAAAAAAGCACATAGTGATTAAAGGAGAAAGTTGTTCTGTTTGGCTGCACTTGTTTTCAGCCTGTAGTATATCAGTTAATGTTTTAGTTCCTTCATACTTATCTGTGATAAACTTCTACTGTGGAGTTGAAAAATTTTGTCAAAGAGCCATGGGTGCTTAGAAAAAGGAACTGGAGCAATTTGGGGAATGTGTAGTTATTGTATTTGATTTTTTTTTGTAAAATCATTATATAATTTAAAAAAAAGAATAAATTAATGAGAAAAAGGCAATATTTATCTGTTTTAATGATAGACTTACTGTGGAATTAATAACTAAAGTAAAAATATTGAGATAGAATTTTTCATACTTACTTGTGAACTTTAAGTCCATCTCTGACATCCTATTTATTTATGTTTTTAGTCAATGAACTTATTCTTAAACAGAAGCAAAGATCTGAGGAGAAAAGACTCAAACTGGACCATTCAGTGAGTAGCACCGTATGTTCCAACTTTTTTACTTTATATTTATTTAATGGTTCTGTACAGCAATTGTCATTATGTAGCTTAATTTAGAAGAAATTGTACTGTTGAGCTGATCCTTTAACTTGCTTTATATGCAAATAATACTAATATCAGTCGTACTAGATCCCTTCAACCTTGTTAACTCTTGTTCTTCCTGCCAGCAATATTTGTGTCGAGGCAAGCTGTGTTAGCATAGCTGAGTGTTGTATGATGTGTTGAATGTAACCTGGGGAACTACCCATAGAAGCACACTTGTTTAAAGGTAATAATTGTCATTCAGTGTTGGAAATTACAGCTACAGTGAGAGTTGTGGATGATTGGAAGTGCCATGGGCTTCTCTGATCACATGTGAGAAGCCGTGTTCTCCAGAGAAGTGGGAGGAAAACTAATACCAGCCACAAGAGGGAGAGGGATGCATTCTCAGTACTGATGTTCTGCCTCTGATCCCAGATAAAACTGCCTGGATATCTTCTAGACTTGTACCGTGTCACAGAATCGGAGCATGATCTGTGCTCTCAGTTTGCAAAAACCCCTGTACAGCAGCAGTGGTTGCTCTTCTACATCAAGATCAAAAAGAATATATGACATTAGCTAGGAAACTTGCACACTTGTTTTGCTGCGTCTGGCTTCTGTAATTCATAAATAAGGTTGCAAAGTAATATTAAAAATCATGGACCCTCTGGTTTTGTCAGTGCAACCACTCTATTGAAGTGTTACTAATTTAGGGGCTGCACTGCAGAAACCAATGTGCTCAGCAGTTGTATGCTTTAGAAAAAAGCACTCTTTAAGAATTCATTGGTCTACTCACAGTAAGCTTTTATATTCAATATAAAATATGAGCGTACTGTATTCAACATAAAATATGCATAAACCATATCTGGTTTAAAATGCACACAATTGACCTGAAGGCATGTACAGTAACTTCTTGGAAATTGGTTCTACTTTCTCATAGTGCACCTTTTAAAAACTGTGCCTGTAGGTGCACCGATCTTCGATAACTACCACTAAGTGGAAACCTGCCGTGACTTTATGCCCAAAACAGTATTGTGTCTTCCTTTTGGCAGCAAATTAATAATACGGACATCTCTAAAAAAAACTTTGCTGTTTTACCAGCTCCTTAATGTGCCTGTTCTCCTCTAGTGTTACTTCTGGTGTTAAGAGAAGTCATTTAATACGTGTTGCAGCAAATGCACTGTTTCTTGATTATGGATTTGTCTCATTAAGAAATTGAATTAAGAAATAACTAAGGCATCTTTGAAGCTTTGAGTGGTTTACTAGTGGTACCGTTTAACTAGTACATTAGTATGTTAAAGTTTGTCTCAAGTCTTGTTGACTTGCTTAAAAATTGTATTTTTTCCAGCTGTTCCAGATTGCAATTGAGGTTTTGCCTCTGTGGTTTCCACAGGTTCTGTTGAGAGTTGTGTAAAAAGTTGTGTTCTATATGGATGTCACATTTTTTATTAATGTAGCCAATACAAATAGACTATAACCTCTTAGAAAATATCGAATTTAGAGTGGATTGCATTTCTAGTTCTTGTGAATTTAAATATCTTGATCTAGTGTCATAGCTTTTATAGGGCAGGATTTTTTTAATCCAGCTTTGTTTCTTAGAAGGCCTAAAGACCTTTCACAGCAACTAACAGGAGCAGCTGGATTTTGAATGTAAGGCTATATTAGTATTAACCTGTTATTCAGGTTTTCCTGTGCTAAAAGATACTTTTAAACTTTTTACTGACAAGAAGAGCAAACAGACTGTAGGGAAGAATGGGCTGCATAGTAGTATGCTGGCTGTCTGAGGAGTCCTCAGCATTAACAGGTTAAATGAGAAGATCACCCCGATGAGCTCCATCATCTTCCCAGCTCTCACATTTCCCATGAAAACACCCTTAAGAGGAGTAGTGTGGGAGGTGAGAGTAGAAAAAATAAGCTGATGCTACCTTCTTACATTTGATTTTAGCATGAGGGTTTTACCTATTACTTGCTTAAAAAAATTAAAAGGTATTGCTACTTAACAGTATTTCAGGTAGATGTAATCCAACTAAGCTTGAATAAACATATTTTTTTTACTTCTCCCCATAGAAACATGTTCTCACAAACCAGGGCACAAATCAGATAAAATTGACTGTGAAATAATCTCTTCCTAGCAGCAACAGTTATGCTCTCATAAGTGCAGATATCTTCCAAATAAGATAAGCAGTTACTCAGTAGGACAGAAGAGCTATATCCTGTACATGTGGGAGAACTGGGAATTCTGATTCCTGAAAATTGTTTTGAAATTACACAAAGGGATGAAATATTTCAGTGCTGCTTTTAGTATCTGTTGCTGGATATAGCCCTGGATGGCTTGAACTCACCGTCTCTCCAACATCTCTTGGTCTGTTTCTAGAATGGCCATAGGTGGCAGATAATTCAAGATTTGTTGGGAACTGATCAAGACAATCTTGACTTGGCCAATGTCAACCTGATGCTGGAGCTGCTGGTGCAAAAGAAGAAGCAGTTAGAAGCAGTAAGAAGTTTCTCTTGTCTTATTTAAATGGACACTGTTTTTTAGTTAGCAGTTTTTACCTTTCATGCTTTTATCTTCATGAAGTAAGATTCTACTGCCGAATTAATCACGCAGAGTTTTCCCTTGTATTTTGGTGTTGAGAAGTTGGCCATCTTGCTGACCTTTGTAGCAAACTAACATTTCAACTGTGATGCCCATAACATGCTTATAGTGTTGCTGTTGGCATGATGGTCTAAACGAGCAGGAGAAATGGAAAGGGACAAGAATGGCTGGCAGAACAGAGAAATGCATATGAAGATGTTTGCTAATTGATATTTCTTTTTGCAACAGTCGGATCTTTCTTGGTAATAAGCATGAAGTCTGAAATACAGGTTAAGGAATAAACTCAGTGAACATGTGAAAAGATCACACCTTTTAGTTTCTACTGGAACTGATAGAACCTGAACGACTGCCATCCCTGAAGACTTATTTTAGTATTTAATGCTTGAAAGAAAAGTTCAGATGTCTCGTTTATGAGGCTGGTTTGGAGATTTACACAACGTGAAGCAAGCTGTTCCTATGATTTAACTGAAATGTAGTTGGTTTGGGATGGTTCTCATTTATTTGGGTGACCATTTTTCAGTTAGGACAACTAGACCTTCTAAGTTAAACTAAATCACAGAATTTGGCCTAGTGGACTTAGGGTAGGAGAATGGATTTCAATGATCCTTTAAAACAGGTGAGGAAAAGTTGTGTTGGGAATGGCTTATCTTATTCACTCTTGCAGAATCAGTATTTACAAAACTTGTGGTTCTAATGGAAGGAAAGTAACCCAAAAATATATTTACTGACTGCTAGCAAAACCATTATGTCACCTTATTGTGTGGGGACTTTTATGTAACTTTTTTATTGTGGTTTGGTGAAGATATGGTGGGAGTATGGTTTCTGGCTTCAGAGTAAAACCTCTTTTTTTTCTCAAGCCTTTTTTTATTTGTGACAAATCTGAAACAAAGGTGACACAGGACTGAGTGTATGGGTGCTTCTGAGCAGGAATATCTTGTTAAGTTTACTAAGCTTTAAAAAACATAAACCACACCTGATAGTTAAAGAACTATTTAAAAACATTTTTCCTTTCTAGTTTTGCTTGTTTCAGTTTCATTCTCATCACAGGGGTGAGGAGGAAGAAAACGATCTCAGGAAAGTAGTAGTCTTGCATCCTAATCTCTTTACGTGTCCTGTCTCATCCGCCTTTAATGGATTCTGCGGGCTCCTATGTCTTGAGCATTTTTCAGTGTATGTTCACAGTTCTTTAATAATAAATATTTCAGTAGATTGTGAAAATAAGTCTCAATGCTGGGATAGGTTAAGGGCTATGCCAATGCTGGAATATAGTTTTTTTCTTCTTTTTCTTCTTTTATCTTACCTTGTCATATTTCTGGCCAATTTGGGTGAAAATATTAAGCTGATGGTTGAGCTAAATGACCTGTTATGGAAAGACTGGAAAGTGATGTTTTAGTTTCATTAGTGACTTTGTTGTTGTCTTCCACTCTGGAGAAATCTTCAGCAGTAATCTTTTTAAACGTAAATGTTAATTTTGGAGGCAAGTGTTTTTTGTATAAATACTTCATGCTTTAGTATGTTAATCACGAAGTGGATGCTAATGATTTTCCAGGGTAGAAGATGAGTCTGTGAGGAACGGGTATTCCACAACCAGTTTCAGATGCAGTAGCCAAAAAACCTGAAAAGCATTTCAACTTATTAGTAAGTCTTCAGTAACGCACAAACAAGAGCTGTACAATGGTTTCTGCCTTCATGTAAAACTTGTTGTGAGCCACCAAAACCGTAAAACCTGGGAGGCAAAGTAAAACTACCCTTCTTGAAACTGCCTTAAGCTGTTTTCCTCACTTCTAAATCGAAGCTGTTTGAGCTAAGTGTGAGTTTCTGTGTATAAAATGAATGTATGTTTCTTTTGATGTATGGGGAAGAGTTACACTTCGTTATTTACTGTCTTACAGGAGTCCCATGCTGCTCAATTGCAGATCCTTATGGAATTTCTCAAAGTTGCCAGGAGAAACAAACGAGAGGTAACTTGCTTTGTGTTTCAAGTCTGCTGCTTTCTACCAGTTCATTTCTGTTTAAGTGATGTGTTAGCCTGGCACTGTGTCTGCAAAGGAAAAAGCAAGGCCTGATTGGGGACATCTCAGGCAGAGGACATGCGAGTTTTAAGAAAAATTAATCTCCTTACGTGTGGCAGCTTCAATTTTTAATTGCTTGCCTTTTTGTCTCATGCTGGTGAAGCGTGTGGAAAGAAGAGAACTTGAGGACAGAGATTCCCTACTGTAAACTTACATCAAATTCTTGAAACAAGATTTTTCTGTGATGGGGGAACTGAAAGATGGGGAAGGAGTGAAATTGTCAGTCTGAAATTTTTTCTTTTAGTATATCAAATGCTATGACTAACACCGGCATGTGTCATAAAAGAATGTCTCAAAATGAGTGTCGTGAGGAAGGAGAGAGGGTTCCACAGTCACATACATGGTCTTTCATGGTTTGAGGCTTAACATTTATAATGTCATGCAATGCAAAAATATTGCTACTAGAAATATCTCAGAAACCTAGTAAAATTACCATCAAAACAGCAGAAGGACAAGATTTTTTTTGGAGGTTATGGTTTTTAATGAAAGTTGCGAAGAATACAAGACCCGATGGTGCAGGTAACGTTAAGCTTGAACCATGTAAAGGTGATGGGTGTAAGAAGCACCTTGTCCAGAATGGATTGAGGGTCTGGTTGTGGAGCCATCCTAAAGCTGGAAGCAACAGGAGTAATGGAAAGGAACTAACCAAAGGGGAAGACTGACTCCAAGATAAAGTTGTATTTGTAGACCAAAATCTAGGCTATCACTGCAGGTATCAGTGAAGACAAAATGGCATGGTTCCATTTCTGTCTCTGTTTAGTATAAAGCATAGTACCTATTTGATCCTTCAGGGCTGGAAAAAAAAGAAATACCTATTACTGTTATTTTTTTTGCTTAAGCAGCAAAGACACAAGCATTGCTCAAAACTATTGAGGTATCTTTTAGCTTTCGTTTTTTGAATGTTGGTAGAAGTTATTTTATGGTGGCTTTGTTTACAAACACCTCTCAAATCTTCAGATTATCTGCTTTCACTTATATTCCTAATATTTAGTATTATGTGGAAAACTTCAGAGCTTAACCCATCTTCACTGTAGACCTAATGCAGGCTCTGGCTGTTGTCGGTTTGCACTCGTTAAACACTTTCCATTGGGATTTGGTGCACTTGAGGGACCATTAAGATACTGCAGACACTTCCTGGTAAGGCTGCCTTTGTCTAGGAGGTGAATTGAGAAGTAGATGCTTCAGGAGGTTCATCCACAGTTTAGCTGGGGTGTTCTTCCTTGAGTCATCATTGAGTGATTCAAGTGCAGGGAGTTTGGGGCAGTACCATAAAGTCAGTGATGACGTTGCTTTCTCCTCCTCCAGTTGAAACTGAGTTAGAACAACTCTCGGAGAAGGAGGGGCTGTTGATACCTACTTTAGTTTGCATGTGTTGAGTGGGAAGGATGAAGGGAAGGGAAATTGCTGAAAAATCAGAAGCTCTGCATACTGTAATGTGTTGTACCACCACTGACTATGACTTTCAGCACCTGGGAACCCTTTGCTAGCTCATCTGCACCTGCTCTTGGCTTTAGTAAAAATGTACAAGGATAGCATCTCTTTAAGGCTAAAGAAACTTAATTTTGGCTGCACATCTTCTGAATATGGCCCTGGGAACATCCTGAAGCCTACTGGGATGCATAGCTTAGTTCTGAACCTCTCTGTCACTGCTATGTGTTCCCTCTGTTGCCAAGACTTCCTCCGTTATTTCTTACCCCCCTTTATATTCCGACGTAGAGCACCAGCTGTCACATCTCAAAAGACTTTTGTGCAGACCTGTCAGTTCTGTCCTTGCCGTAGTGGTTAGTGTCTGGCCTTGTCATTTATTTTGAGGGAAATGAGGGCTTGTCAGACTCGCTGCTCACGATCTTTCTTTTCACTTGATAAGGTTAGGAAAGATTAGAAGCATGGCAAATACAGACCAGTCAGTAGGATAGTTTTAGAAAGATGTCAAAATCTGGTCTCAGCAATCAAGCTATAGCCATAAAGTAAATTAAGGTGGTTGATGCGTTTGTTCTAGTAAATCCTGTGGTCCTCCCTGGTTCTAGTAAAGATGACTGCAGAGCAATTGCAGTTTCACTCAGGAAGCAGTAGCTGTAACAAAGTTCTTAAATAAATTAGAAAATCTTTTGTGTGGGGCTGAAAGTGCCTGATGCACGTTTTTGGTTTAAATATTTAAAGGAATGTAAAATTGCCTGTTAACTTTTTCCTAATAAGCCTCTGAAATATTCTTTATTATAAATAAAACCTGTTAATAAAATAGTATTACATGTTGCAGGTTCTTACATAGAGACTACGTACTTTGTTAGTTAATACAGATATTGCCTTAGAGTTTGTGTACCTGTATAATATTTCATAATATGTTCAGAGCATTTGCTTGGTTCACACAGGTTTTGTGTGTTTTTTCCTGCCTTCGTGAAATGGTGACTTCTGAGCTTATTGGAGGGGGTTTATATCTAAAAACTGTATCTTTATAGACTTGTACTTAAGAATTCAGAATATTGCTGTAGTCAAGTATTTTGACAAATGCCTCTTTCTTGCACTTCCATCATTTCTCTAGAAGATAAACGTGAGGTTCAGCACCTGCAGAAGTTTTTATTATAAATCCTGTTTTGATGTGTTCATAACTTTCCAAAACATTGATCTTTCAAGCTGAAATTTACTGCATATTTTTTTTGCACAAAGGTATTTGCAAGTCCTTTTTCTTTTAAGTTTAGATGTTTTGTTTTCTTTTTGACCTGTGGCAATGTGGCAAAAAAACCCAAATCCCTGGCAATAATAATAGGAAAAAAAAATTTACTTTGAAAAAGATTGAAAACAAATGGCTAAAGCCTGAAAATAATTTTTTCAACAAAACAACAGATAGTTTTGGAGGGGAGAAAAATATATTGATCATCCACAACAGTTGGTTGTCTCTAAGGCAAACTTAGCATGGGTGTGTGCCTTTCCATATATGTGCACAGTTAATTGAATGCATGCTCTCCATTTTTTTTTTGATCCACCAGTCTCTTCAGTTGAAATCAAGGATCCACAGAGTCTGGAAGGTCAAGTTCAATAATGAAATACTTCACTTTGTTTTTTATTCCTATTTTCAAGGGAAACCAAATGCAATGACCTGTAACTTTCTTAAATTCGTATTTTTCATGCCAACATTTTGATGCTGTTAGCTGTATTGCATAAGTACTTTTGCAAGTTTAACTTCCTTTACTTTTAAATGATCACGTGTTCTTTCATCTTGAACACTTTGTGACAGAGCTGATAATATCAGCCAATACAAAAAATTATCCTCAGTTTTATATTCCTCACTTTAAAGAGGCCTTACTAATTGTCCCATCAGGATTTGAGTGTTAACATCTAACTTCATGTTAATCTAACTTCATTAGTTAGATACCACCATCTATATTGTATATATAATTTGTCCTAAACATTGTAGCTCGGCTACCTCTTGGGGAGCATTTGCTATTTCCGCGAAGCAGCACCATTGCTTGCTGAAGGAGAATACTGAGTTTAACAATCAGTGTCACAAATCAAGTTCAACAAAATACAGATGATATTCCCTAGATGCATTCATGTTTCTCTTGGCAGCTGTCACTTCATTTTTATGTTTTATGGGCTTTTTCTTTCTACTAATGTCACATTAAGTCTCTCCTATCTAACAAACAAGACCTCTTCCATGTCTGCTAATGCATGGGGGCTGTTTTTAGCTGGTAAACATCCCGGGACAGAGATGTAATCCTGAAACATCTCTGGTTTGCAGCACGGAGTGCCTGCTCAGCGTTTCAGAATCATCATCATTCTTTTCAGGCTCAAATGCTTGTATCTATCCAGCTGTCTTCACTTACTCCATATTGTGAGCATGTTAAATACTAAAAATAAGAGGACTTATTAGTTATTGTGGGATAATTGCAGGGAATTATAAGCATGAATTCTCCAGGGATGTCATTACCTTGTGTTAATCGCTTCACCTGTCAAGTCTTATTGTTCTGCGCATACACACATGGATGAACTAATAAGTAAGCAAGAGGAGGTGACAGAACTAGAAATCAGTCATGCTCTTATGTTGTCATATAGTCTTGATTACATTCCAGGACTCCTGAGGTGAATTTATAGCTATAGTAATCTCTTTCCTATCCGCTGCACTTAAATAACTGGTATTTTAAATCTATTTGCATTTCTAAGCTACTCAGTGCGAGACGTGAGCTCTGACTGCAGTGATGATAAGCCAAGGATACAGCTAGAGTATGAGCAGCAAGCTGGAGATTATCATGTAAGCATCAGTGTATAATAGCTGACTGTCCTTACTGCAGCGGAGAGGTCTTTCGAAAGAAAAAGAGGGGGCAACCTGGTACTAGGAGCTAAGTAGCATGTACAGTGATGTATTAAACTCCAAGGCAATTTATCTAAATGTTTAGACAGCTTTGTTCCCTGCCCCAGATACCTTTCTCCGTGACACTTTTCTATCAGGCTGTATCAGTAAGCCTTCAAAGCATTACTCCTGCAACCAAACTGGAGGATTTAAATGAGAGGGAGGAAAAGTCAAGATGTGAAACGTATTTTTTTGATCAGCCAGGCATCTCCTTCCTCCTACCCTTTGGAATTCTGTGTGTTAAACAACTCAACAGGGATGTTGTACTCAAACCTTTGTTAGCTCTTGCCCAGTTAAGAGGAAACATTTACCATTTGGAGGAAGTATTGATCAGAGGGAATAAATATTCCCTGTAGATAAATGTGTTCTAGATGGACTGCCCATGTGTCTAAAATGCTTGGATGCCAGGTTTCACCAGTGAAAGTATCTTACAGAGGCTCAGGTGGTGTTGCCTTCATACCGAAAGAAACCTTGCACCTTTTTCCACTTATGCAAAGTGGAATAGTAATAGTGCAGTGTTATGTCAAAATAAGTGAAATATGCAATTCATTTAAAAAGCTACAATCTCTCTAAACTCTGGAGATTACTTCCTTGCCATAGTTGCCCTGTGTTTTATAATAGGCTCTGGATCCGAAGCAGTAATGGAAGGAAAACCCAGAGACAGACAAGACTTCCAACTGGTGTCCCGAGAGAGAAATTGATCTTACTCACTGTAGAGTTGTCATTGAAGTATTGAGTTCTACAGGAAGAAATTCATTTCACTGGGTACCTTTAGGAGAGGTTCAGCTGTTGATACTTAGGTTTATACTCAAGTTTTTTAAAGCAGTAGTTGATGGAAGAAGTGGGAAGAGATAATGTTGGATGGATGAAGTTGTGGGATAGAATGAAGGGTTTATCTACAGAGATTACCTGATTTATCCTCCTCAGCTGCACAGATGATACTTTTTACCTTGTCCTGGTTGGTACAATGGCTATGTGTGTCTGGGGAAAAAAGATGCTCCCTCTGATAAGTCTCATCTGTCTTCATCTACGGTGTATATTGTGATGAATGCATGAGGGTTTTGGATCAAAGTCTTGAAGGTGTGTGATTGAACATAACATGACTTGTGAGCTTTCAGAAGTGTGAATCCAGATGCTCTTTTTAAGCCACCTGGTGGAATAGCATTGGAGCAGTATTTCTGTAGAAAATAGGTTCTGCTGTTCTTTGCTTGTGCTTTTTCTAGAATTGGAAAGAGAGTTGGTCAAGGGTGTATGACTCCTTATCTCATGCATTTTTTTTTTTCCTAGGCCGTTTCTTTCTAGGCTGTCTTTGTGGTACTGGGAGGCTCTGCTGAGCTTTTATTTTTTTTTGCAAACATTTAGAACTGGCACCAGGAGACCCAGTCAAGACCGCTTGTTGTCTGTGCTGTACAAACACTAAGGATGAAGTCACTACCTCCTGAGAGGCCCTTGGTCCAGGAAAAACAGGAAGTCCAAGGATGAAACCTCAGTGCTGTGCCCAGCTACGCTTGTTGGTAGATAGCCAACTGAAATCAAACTGGCCATGACCTGGTGTTTAACATTGTATAAATTCAAATTAAGATTCTCCCAAGAGTCTTATGTGGAAATTCAGTAGTATGGCAGAGTAGTGTCTCTGAGCAACTCTAACCAGAGGATTTCCCTTCATCCATGTAATCCAGGGCTGAGAGTTATCTTTGAAGAACTCTTGGTGTGTCTAAGCTTCAGATGCAAACTAGAAGGTTTTGGGGGGGTCTGCCTTATGAGTGTGAAGGGGATTTGTATCTGAGAGATTAACGAAAAAGAATGATATGAGAACCTGCGCTTCCTACTGGGGTAGCTTCTTGAATGTCTGAAATCCCTTTTCCAGAGATTTTAAGAAACAATGACCTCAAAATAGCCTTTCTTTTGTATGTATTCTAAGTGTTTTTGCTGACTTAATCTGAAGTTTGACAGGTGTGATTCTACCTATCATTGGGACAGGATTTGGCTTGCTTTCTGTGCCCAATGCAGTGGGAATCAAATTAAGGGCCCATAAATCTGGATAAACTGCAAGGACTATATCATTTAGCTTTCCTTAAATGTCCCTCAATGACTGGCAATTATAAATCAGTAGTCTCATTTTTCAAAGCTTAATTGGAATGAATTTGGACTGACTTAAGGTCTTTGATAGATTAAAGCTAAACCGTGAAACACTTGAGCCAACCTACTAAAAAAAAACCTCCTGAATTGGGCATTAGTAACTCATTTGATGCTGATGGTATGAGAAGACTCTTCCTAAAATAAGTGTGAAACACACTTTGCTACTGTTGGGTAAGTTTATGGTAGGTTCAAATTGCTTGCCTTAGCGTAACTAGAAGGAAGAATTAGTAAACAAAGTCCCAGGTCTCGTACTTTTGGCTCTGTGCAATAGTTAATAAAATAATAATAATAGTTAATAAAAGCTGGCCAGTAAAAAGGTCTCCGCTCTTGTTCCTATAAAAAGATCTCCTGTTTATGTGATAGTAACAACCATCAATTATTTTTCAGTTGTCCAGTTTGACTGTGAGCCAGTACATTGTAGAATAGCTGATTTCCTTGTTGTAATTTTGGAACTTTTAAGTGTTTTTATAACTTCTTTTTGAATGAAATTTATGAAAGTGGGGGACTAATGGTATTTGTCTGCTAGAGCTGAGCACAGGCAGGGCTCGTGCTGTGCAAGTGTCACTTAACTTTACCACTAATCTTGGAGCTATAGCACCACCTGCTATTCTTGCTGTAGGTTTCGCAAGTGAAAATGGAATTATCTGTTATGGTGTAGTGGTTTGTAAATTATCTGTGGCAGTCTAGTTTTAAACCATTAAACTTGTGCTGTCTGTGACTCAAATATAAACCGAAACCTTCAGAGCAGAGAAATTAGGATGTAAATACAATGTCATCTCATTCCGAGGAAGAAGCCATGTTAGAAATAGGTGTGGACCCAGCAGTCCTTTCTTCTCCTGTCTTCAGAGACAGAAGGCTTTTATTTGATGTTGAAAAGGTAAATGAAAATGATGGATTATCTAATAACCAAGCACACATACTTGGAATGCTGATTGGTAGTGGGGGTTTAAGTGGTGAGTGTGTGGTTTTTTTAAGCAAAACTTTCTGCCACTTAAGGGATCAAGAATAAGCGCTCAAGTGGATAAGTCTTTGGGAGTAGCTTGCCAAATGTTTTTATGAATATGTCATACTAAGAGTAATATGTCTTGGAATACTAGTAACTTTGATTTGGGCAATTTTACCTTCTTTTGTCAGGTCAAAATGACAAAAATTTGGCCTTTAGAGAATGTGTTGTGCTTAAGCTTTTGGTGGGCTTGCCAACTTGGTAATGGCTTCTGGTCACAGGCCACAGTGCTAGTTGTCTGTAGATTATTTTTTTTTTACTATACATAGAGGAGAGTCAGGTGGACTTCCAGTTCTCAATGTAGTCATTAGGCTTGTGTGTCTTAGTGAACCAGACTTGCACTGGAGCTGAGTTTTGTCTGTTGAGGTCCAGCCTTGGAGCTCTCACCTAGAGGAGTGCATGTATTTGAGTCTTGCAAGACTGGGTATGGGCTCTGGGGGTTTGGATGGGATGTGTCTGCTGAATGAGGGTGGGAATTGGAGCTGGTAAGCAGATGATGCTCTTGCTTAAGAGTAAACAATTGTGGAGTGTGTGGCTTCATAGTTGCTAGAGATGAGTGAAGCCAGGTTGCTGACTGACTGAAAAGTAATTGGAAAACCTGAAAAATACTATGTGTGACACAAGGGAAAGGGCATGCTGGCTGGTTAGAGGGGAGGTCCCCTTCTGACCGTTTCAGGGATAGCCCTCGAATTGACTGGAGTTTATGGTGTAATCCAAGGTAAGTATCACATCTCTGAAAGAAACGCCACGTGGTGCTTGCTTGATGCCAGGAGCAAATCTCTCCATAGACGTAATAGGGGGGTTTTTCCTATCCAAAAATTTTATCAGTAAGTTTAAATTGACAAATGACAGGTTAACCACTAGCAAGAGAAATACTCTTAATACCTTTTAGCGAAACACTTTGATCGTTTCACCCCGCAAGAAAATGTCTTTCATGGTGTTTTTTTCTAATTATGTTCAGAGTTTGTAAACCAATTATAAATACCTTCCATGAAAGGTGCTAGAGGAGCATAATAGTATTACTTTGATATCAATCATAGAGACCTACATCAGTCAAAGTACCTCATTCTCTTGTCTTGCACTGTTTCACAATAACAACTTTGTCTTCAATGTAGTTTGTGTGCACATTTATGCATAAGAACTTCCTGCCTAGTGACTTGTGAATCGTATAGCATGCCAGTTAAGATAGTTCAGGTTCCTCTCTGAAAAGACGGTAATTTATCTCGGTGGTGCAGTGCAGATTGATTTAGACTTCTCTCATTCTCTTATCCACAGCAACTGGAGCAGATCCAGAAGGAGCTAAGTGTTCTGGAAGAAGACATTAAACGAGTAGAGGTGAGGTGCCCAGACATTATTCTGACTCTGGCAATTTTTCATTTTCATCAAGCTGTCTGCCTTGCTGTGGGGCTGCTGTGTTAAATTTATGGTGTTTGAGTCAGTAATGGGAAAGTGAACAGATGATGCTCTTTCTTTAATTTGTTCGTTGAGTTGATATGTGCAAACTGCAGGTTAGTAAGAGGGGGGCTTCGTTGAAACCTAGCTCTAAGTCGTATTTTTCAATTTCTTTGTGTTGGTTTTAAGTATTTTAGAGTAATTGCTAGAAATCAACAGCCAGTATATTGATCATAACTTAAGATTTTTGTACATTGCAGTGTTCTGGCTATTTGCACAGGCTGTTTAAATCTTAGCAGCATGCCACTCTTAAAATGGAGAGGTATTGGCGGAGGGGGGTGCACAAGATAGCTGTAATGCAGAGACTGGGTAGGAGCAGAACCACCTCCCTGCTGCATGTCAAAACAGAAGCAATCTGCTACTTCTCGATATAATTTTTGTAGTTCCTTAATGATGGGGAATCTCTTGAGAATTTTTGCTAAGAATTATTCTCCAAGCAGTTGTAAACCCATCAGCTCGATCTTTCTGTCCTTATTGAGTCCGTAGGTTCCTCCTTGGTCTTTTCCTCTGATCATTCCAGTGTTTTGGAGTAGGAAACCGATGTTTCAGGAACGCATCAGGCTGCCTTCTCTCAAAATAGCATTCCCTTACAGCTTATTGGGAATCGTTTTGCAGGTCTGCTTCTCTCTTCTTGTGTGTCTTGAGCAGTCAGCACGAGCTCCCAACTACTGCCCAAAGCCTCTTAGGTTTCTTCACTTCCAATTTATACGCAAGCTGATGAATTATCAAAATATAAATAGAACTGGCAACTGCAGGAACTTCCCTTCAGCCGATAGCTACGCAAATTGTAACTTGGTAGATAACAGCATTTTTCAGACTTGCTTCCCTGAATGTTTCTCGGCTCATGGGAAATAAATATACCTTAGTGTGTGTCCTTGAGACTGATAAAATAGGTCTTCAGATCTAGGAGAAGCTATTCCCAAAGCTGCGGGATCCCTCTAAGAATATCTAGCTACCTGCTTGTCTGCTCTTTAATCGGGCACTTCAGTGGACTGCAGCTGGGGTAGGTATCTGGTGTGTGACAGTGACCTTGGTTCTGACCTCTAAAGCCGAGCATCTCTCTTGTCACAAATATCCTACTTTCTACCTAACCACTAATGGGCACCTAGTGGGAATTTGAAAAGCACAAGTGATGTTGTCCTGGAACTCTTTGCCCCACTAACTCATGAGCTGCAGCATCCTGCATAGCTTCTGGTTCTCAAACAGATGAAAGGTACGGTCTCATACTGGGTACACAACAGTGATTTAGTCTGGTAGTGACATAGCTGAATTTATGTGCAAAGTTTGTCTGTTGTGTACTTGCCCTGCAGAAGGCTGATAGATCATCTTTTAAGTCTGGAGCACGATACCACCTTTGCCCTCTGTCGTCTTGTGGCTGTTGTTGCCATGATGCGTATCCAGCATTACTTCCCAGCTGTGAAGGCTGTTAGATCTGAGTTTGCATGTATCAAAAATGCAGTTACAGCTTGTTATGACATTTGAAGGAGGTGCTGGATTGGATGGTAACCAAATACATTGATTTTTTTTTTTTGGAGTAGAAACTCCAGAGCTGTCTCTTTTGGGGCAAAAAACACTGCAGGTGTAGAATTTCTGAAACCCAGCTGGAATGATAAGTAAAAAAAAAATTATCAAAGACGATATCAATGTTTCTTCAGGTATAGTAAAGAATTCTAGGTGAGAGTAGATACAGTTGGTTTTCTGCTTGGAAAAAACAAAATATTAGTATGTGAACATCTTATATTACATGATGTCTACTATTGATGTTTTGTCAGCTTTGCTGTAATGTGGCTTTCTGTTTCAGGAAATGAGTGGCTTGTACTCCCCAGTCAGCGAGGACAGTACAGTGCCACAGTTTGAGGCTCCCTCACCTTCACACAGGTATGGAGTTTGCAGCCCAGAACCAGGATTTCAAGCTGTGTGTGTTCTGCTGTACTTGCTAGTCCTCTCCGTGCCATGCTCAAAACACAAGCAAAACTATTTTTTTGAGCGCTGTACAATATTTTCCTGTTCTGCTTTTGGTTGGTGTAAACTTTACATGAACAAAGCAGTGAAGAAAAAGCCATCTGAGTCTCCAGTTGGATGAAAAGTCTACTCTAAACCAGATGCTGTGGAAAGCTGATGGTTTTAACTGTAATGTGGATTAGTTAACTTGAGTCATAAGCCTTTGCTATGGTATGAAATATTATTGTTAAACACATGCTACCTTTTCTGAACGTTATGCAGTTCTGCTTGGCATGTGAAGGGTCTTAATTTTTTGTGATATTAGTGTCCTCTGGCTTCCCCACTCAGCGTGAATGGTTAAAGGCGTGGGCTCACAGGATGAAAATTTAAAATATACAGCCTATTGATTCTGTTTATCTGCTGTCTGTTTTGATTTAGTGAAATGCCTTTGTAATAACATCTTTTCAATGTGGATTTTTTTGTCTGGAAAATCGCAGATGCTTCTTGTGTCCAAGTTGCATGTGCCAGGGTTTGAAGTGCTCTACTTGATAGCTATGTTTTTTGGATGTAAGAAAGCTCTGATTTCACAGGGCCAAGTTATTTTATTGAATGATTATCTCTCATAATAGTAGAGCTCTCTAAACTGTTTTCTGTTATAGAATTGTACTGGTACCTTTCCTGCAATTAGCAGCTCTAAACCTAGTAGCCCAGAAGTGAGAAAACACGACCAGATTTCATCTCCTACAGAGATGTAGATACAATGCTCTGATAAGGAGCCTTCCAATATTGACTGGGATTTCTTACAAGATGCTATTTCTGGACACCAAAGACCAGAATCTCTCATATTTCTATGAAGCTCTGGCTGGTGCTGAGGGAAAGGGTAGGAATATGGCCAAGATGGACGGGAATAGTGTTTGTTATTCTGCTTTTCACTGCTTGTTTAATTTTTTTGGCTGCAGGTGAGGTTTTTTGATGTGGATTATTGCTGTTTTCCCAAGAAGCAGTTTTGTGAAGCTGATGAGATTCTTGTCAGGTTCTAGTTTTCTGGTTATTGGCTATTAAATAGATTGCTGCTTTTTTGCTTCATGGTACTGCTGCTTGGGGAAAACTTGAGCACTGGTTGGGCTGAATTTGTTACATGTTGAATGCCTTCAGGCCTAGAAACTCTTCTTTTTTTAACAGAAGATTGTGCTTACGAGTAGAAATGTATCTCTGTTACTTGAGCCAAGGTAACAGACAAGCTCCCAAAGAACTCCTTTATCTTTTGAAAGCTGGAATAAGATTTTAAGCCCAAGAGTTTTGGTGAAGGATTTTGGGGGGAAAACCCCCTGCTGTGCGAGAGCTACACTGGTTTCAGTTTACTGAGAATTTCTTATTTCTTTTTGCCTGTTCATTTCATGTCCTAGGCTCAATCATTCTCAGTCTTGCTTTTGAAGATGTAAGATACTGTCCAAAAGATTTTAGTGACTTTAGATTGATGTACTTCACTTGGGAGTCTGCTGGGAGATGGCTTAGACTAGGGCAGGTGCAGAGACCATGGACTCTTTTTGGCTTGATCTTCTTATGCTTTTCTGGTTCCATCTTGGCTGTGTCTTGAACTTTTGGGTTTTTCCTCTGGTACCACATGCCAGAGGTGTGATATAATAGGATGTTTAGATTTCTTCTAAGGTACGTGGGGTTGCCTATTTCTCTTGGCTTGAGAAGACCCATTTTCTGTTTCTGAATGACATTCTTGTGTCAAGAAGTAGCCTTGAGTGATCAAAGAGAAAATAGTACATGAAGGAAGCGTCTGAACAAGCATTGGTTGTTGCTGGACTCTTGTAACTTCTGTCCCTGCCCTACCCTAACAGTTTTCTGTAATTCATGTAATTGAATTGGTTTGAATTACCTGAAGTCAGATTCCAGAAAAGTCTACCACTTGAAATTAATTTTCTTTTCAACATTACATGTAAGTTTTGGAGAGTATCACAAAAACTGTAGCTTTGATTCCTCCTTGGAAGGAATGCTGCAGAACAACTGCTAGGAGCTTTAAAATATGCTGTTTTTTTTTCAGCTCTGTTAAGTGAAATTTTTAATCTCCAAAGTGTGTTTTAGAGATGCTATGAACCACTAAGAATGAAATACAAATACAGTTTGAAATGGTTTCACTTCCATGTTAAAATGGTATTGAACTTGCAAAGACTTTTTAACTTATCAGTGAATTAAAATGGTATATTTAAATTGAAATAGAACTTGTTAACATGCTTAACACCCTGCTAATGAAATATAATTGTATAAAACTTTACTAATGTGTCTTGCAAATAGTACAAGGTTATCACAGACCCATGCTGAGATGAAGAAAGTCTCTTCAGCCTTTGAATTTAAAGTTCAAGAAAATAGAATTCTTTGGAATTTGGTTTTATCTGGTCTCTAGTGACTTGCCCTTATTCATCTACTTCCTCTAAATCACAGGCTTGCTTCATTAATTCTCCGTTTCTTTTCATTGTTTGTAGCTTTTTTCCCCCACATTCTTAACGTGTTCAAAATGGGAGATTACTATGCCTCCTCCCATCTTCCTTCATAAGTTATTTAGCAAAAAACCGTGTACAGCTATCATGTTCTATACATTCTCAGCTTCAAGAAACACGTGTTTTCTCTTGTGCTTGTACAGGGTATGATGAAATATTAAATTGAGTAATAGCACAGCACTTGTTTACAGCGTTGCAGATTGCTGAGTTAGTATACTAACAGAGAACAAGGGGAGAAGAATAAGGAAAAAGAACAAATAGTTCTGTGTAGGGTTTTTCTGAGCAGGAGCACATGCTATTTTTGCTATCGATAAATGGTGCAAACGAGATACAAATAAGCAACTTCTCTGTGACTGCATGTTTAGAGGCAATAGCAATAACAAACTATTACTCTAATAGGAGTTTCTGGGGAAGGATTCTGATCTAAAAATTAGTTGCCTGGTAACTGGTTCAGTTATTGAAATCCTGATCTCTTTCCCCTGCGTTTGTTCAAATTACCCCCTCCCACCCCCATAAGGGTAGAACAAATGGGATTTATGGTCTGCACGTTGCTGTGTTTTTGTTGTTGTTGTTCCAGATTTTAAAATGTCGTGTTAGCGTAGCTGAATTTCCTAATTGAACCTAATGTTACAGCTTTATCAAAAGAATTCAGAGGGAACTTTTGTAATTTTCTGATTATTTTTTTCTGATTAGTTGCTTCCTATTTTTAAAAAGAAAAACGTTCAAGCATATGCCACTTAACTCAGCTACGGGCACCATGCAGAAATGACTTCGAATTTGTATTCTGGTTAGGGAGATGACGTCTGCACTCTAGAAGGCTTTACATCACCAGACAACCTGCAGCAAAACGAGACCAGACGCTCCAAGTCTGTGTGTTTTGCTGTTAATTGCCACTGTACCTGTCTCAGAGCGGAGTACTTCTTCATTGCTCTCCAGCCGAGCGTCTTATTCATGCTGTTCCTGGCAGGAGCTGCTGTACGTGTTTCATTATTTCATGTGGCCACATTCTAATTTCAAGTTCATTGTCCCCGACCATGCCTGAAAACAGCTCTGCTGTTTTCTCCCTTGCAATAGCTCGCAGCAAATAATGATTTTTATCCCTCAGATTTTCTTGGTTTGCGGCGTTTGTCTTGCCTTGTAACAGAAGCCCAATCAATCTCATCTTACAAGTTAACCACTAATGAGACTTTAAAATCATCTCTCATCTTCTGCTTCTACTTCGCCCCACCTCCAGGGGAGCTTTAAAACATTCAGAGAAATATTTAAGCACTAGTACCACTGTTTCATCCTTCTAGACTTGCAGGTGCCCTGACCGGCATTTCAGCCAAACTGCTGGTTTTATAATAAAGAATGTCAAATTACACGTTTGTTCGGGCAGCTGGTACGTAAACATCAATAGGTACAATCATATTTTTACAAAATAGCTGTGTTCTGGAAGCTTTCTAAAGAAACCTTCAGCTTTCCCAAGCAATGCTTAAATCTAAGGTTGCCTTGTCAGTAAGACTGAGAATAATGAACCCAGGTAATTTCTTTTCTGTCCAAGCCAAATGGCTTAGCAGAAGCGAGTTAAAGACTTACAGGAGCACATCATGGTGATGTTTGGAATGTGTTCTCTGTAATTAATAAAATGGTGTTCTGTGTACTAACCTTTACTTGTTCTAAAGGTATTTTTAAATTTGAGTGATAAGGATGCTTTATTCTGGCTGTGGTGTCTTACTGTGAGAATTAAGTATTTTGCCCATATGTGCAAGAATACTGACCCACCTGTCTTCTGCTTGTATGAGGAGATCCTTTTGTGGTTCTGAAAGCTAAATCTCTTGAGTTTGCTTGTGTGTGCCATGTTTTAAAAACAGTGATTTGAGATATGTTGTGTCACTGGATACTATGTAGCTATATATGGTGTAATGTTTTCTAATAATGGTAATCCAGACTGTCAGCTTTTTAGTTTATTTCTGTATTTCATTATTTTGTGTGTCTTCAGAGATGCCTGGAATACTAGTGTCTACCTTAAGCTGATTCCTCTAGCTTTTCTCATCATATTATTATTTCAAATGCCATGGCATTAAACTTGCCTTTTTTTTTGAAAGGAACTGAAAACCAATGGTAGCATGTTATTTTCAGAATGCCTTACCCTGCGTATTTCATACAAAAGATATGCTTTTGCATTCTAATTAGAAATTACTAGATTACACTGCACATAATCGTGTGTGACAGCATTCTGCTCTAGGAGATCCCTGTATTTAAAAAAAATAATCCCTCCCAAACCTCCACACAAAAAATAACCTTGTGTCTGTAAAATGGATTTCAAAGGCAAGTATGCTGCAGGATATAAAGGGGAAAGAGCAAACAGGTTAAAAATGATAAAAGATGATTGTGCAGAGATTTAAGCAGACTATTTCTTTTGGTTTTGCAGTAGTATTATTGACTCCACGGAGTATAGCCAGCCTCCAGGCTTCAGTGGCAGCTCTCAGGTAAGGTAATACATGTGTCTGTGCACAGCGGGGACGGGAGAGTGAATGTGGAGGTTGGGCAGAGATTAGACACAACTCCATCCATCGCCAGGGTCAACTCGAGCCTTGCAAGCGCGTTTAACTGGTTATATGGGCAAACCGGAGCCAAGGCTACAGCTGTAGGAATGACTGTGCATGATTGAGTGTCCACACTGATGGCATCAAAGAAATCTAGTGTGATATGTTTAGACATCTGACTTTATTCCCAAAGCTGGCTCTTCCAAGGAAGAAGGAATACTTTTTTTTTGCTCTTCATCGCTTCTCCCAGGTGGGCAGCGTTTGGGAAGGAAAGTAAATCCCTGACCCTTTGCATTGACTTAAATAGTTTTGAATCAAGCTTGACTTTCAAAACAAACATTCGTTTTCCAAACATACAGCAGTTTTGTTGTTTGTCCTTGTTAGGGCCTTACAAACTGTATTATAAATTCATGCAGAGGGTAGAAAGCTGTGCATACAGTGAAGCCGTTTGGCAGGCAGCCTCCAAAACTGTCTGATCCGTGGGGCCTCCCGAATGCCAAACAGCACTGCTGTAGTCTTGCAGCTCAGAGTGATTCAGCTGGGCTGGGAAGTTGACAGCTCACAGCTTCAAAAAAGGTTAAACAGTTTAGATTTAGAGAGGCTGACTCTTGGGTGCATGCCAGCTCGTGCCTTTGGTGCTCTCTGGTGGTGGTGGACCATCTGTGGCACACAACTGTATCAAACTGGTCAATAAAAAAGTGCTGTTGGATCTTATTTGATGGAGTAACTGATATAAAGAGAAAACTCACCTGAATTCTGGACTAGTGTGCATATGGGTTTTTGGGTTTGTAGCTCTGTGTGTGTATATATATAACTAATTGGTAATTAAAAATTTTACCTCTAATTGGTGGAAAAATGCTTCTTGTTCCCTGCTACTGTGATCTGGGAGATTATTACTTGAACAAAGAATTGCAGCTCTGCCTCACTTCAGAGGGCAAGTGGAATGTGGTTGGAGATCTTGGGTTTAGGACTCTGATATGGTGCAGTGTGTTCTCCACTGACACTGCTTGTCTCAGTGCTTTTTCTTTCTATTTCAAAGACAAAATTAATAGCATAGCTGTACTGCTGGTAAGCACACAAAACAAACAACCTAGACTTTCTAGTTGTTTTGACAGCCTTATTTGTGTGAGAATAATCTCTTTTGTCCTCAAATGCAATTTTTTGTCCTCGAGTGTCCAAGATCTGTACTCTTCAGTGCAAATTTTTGAATTAAACTTTAATATATGTTTGGATGCGGTGTTGAAAGAACTCTGAAAGTTAAACACTTCATTCAAAGATAGTCTGATTTCAGCAAGGCTTTACCATAAAAATAGTTTGAAGAATATAAATTCAATTGGGCTTTTTTCTGATTGCCCATCATGGCAAAAATCACAGATTGGGCACTGCTGGCAGTAAGAAGCTGTGCTAGGGTGGACAACATCACTTGCTTTCTCAATAGAATTACTTTGTGCATTGCTCACGAACATGTTCTTAGGGAAGAATTTATATACCGTGAAGCCACAGGACAGTTTGCTTCCAGAAGCTGAGTTTCGGAAGTAAATAGCAGACAAGTCGCATAGGCCCTGGGGAATTCTGCAGGTAGTATTTAGTGGCAGTACTTTCTTTTCTGCTAAAATAAGGAGCTTGTGTGTAGCTGTGAAGCTTTTCTGAAGTTGTTAGAGGAGTCTTCAGAGCACCTAATGGAGTTCAGACAGTAAAATCACTCTTGATAACAGAGCAATCTTAACTAATGTCCTCAACTAGGGCAGCCATAGTCGTTTTAGCAGTTAAATAAAAATTACTTGGGCATGTTTTTATCTCCTTTCCCTTATTTTCTTACTCCTGTTTCCCAGCATTGCTTAACCAGGGAGCAGACTTCATAGAAACTCAGTAAATGCTTTGGTAAAACATGAGCAGTGTAAAATACTTAGCTGGGGGAGATCTGGTGAAGGTGGATTAATGCAGATTGATTCCCAGCACAGCAGGGTTGCCATGTGCCAGCCTGGGAGCTGCTCTGGGAGCCATCTTCCTCTGGAGACCCAGCAGGTATATGGCACAGCAGGCAGATACTTATCACAATTGATTCCAGCTCAGTGTGAACTGGGCTCATCTGGCAGATCAGATGTGAGCCTGGGTTATATCACTGGTCATATTGCAGGTGGCTTGTCTTGACTTGAAACTGAAGGGATTGCTCTTCGATACCTGGAGTTGTCCTGAGCCCTCATTGCTCCTCACGTGCTGAGAGAGGCTGGAGCCCTTGCAGGCTGGTGTGCAAAATTAATAGGAAGATGCTCTAAAAGTGTTCTGTTAAGTGTTTCTTAAAGCTGTGATGTTTTAGAAAATTGTAGTTAAAATGTGTTCTAGTTGTGTTTTGAGATTGGAGTTGCTTTTGAGACGGAACAAGCTGTGTAGACCATGGGTGCTGTCAACATGCAAGCGTGAGTCATGATGTCAATGTATAGCTGGGGACCTTGCAATGGAAAGTGGTGCCTGGAGGTTTCATTTCTTGGGGCTTGCTTTTTCCCCTAAAATGTTAGATTACTGTTCGTACAGGTATAAAGAGAATTTGAGTGGGCTTTAAACTTAGTTTGTCCTTGTTGGCTTGCTCGATGGCTGTAATGAGGGCGACCTGTTCTCCTGTGTGGATTGAGGAGAAGTTGTATGTAGAGAGGGTTTTGTTGGTGCTGTTGAGTGGCATTGTGGATCTTGTATGTGGTCAGGGATGTTGTTTGTTAGGGAGCTTGGTGGTTCTCATCTTTTTCCCCATTTGCTTTGAGTATGCAATGTCTGAGATTTTAAAAATATAAACTAAAGCAAGGTGCTCTTTATGCTTCTTGTGTAGTAGAGGAATTGGTTCCTCTTCCTTACAAGTGATTAAAATGACAAGTGCTCTATTTTCCGTGGCTTCAGGAGGAGAGCTTGCTTATGTAGGTTCAGTCCTTTGCTTCTGTCTCTCACTGTACTGCTTGGGTAGGTTGGGCAATGGCTTTAATGATGAGTTTCCTGGACTTTTTTTTCAGTTAACCTTTGAACTTGATGTCTTCTGCTTCTACCCTTATTTGCTTAGCTTTACAGACAGTTACGAGCTGCTTCAAAAGAAATAATTCAGTAACCAGCTCTTCAAAATAAACACTCTCTTCTTTTTTTAACGAGCTGTCTGCCAGGGATCTACGAAGTATTTTTTGTACAGTCTGTTTGATGTGTGAAGCTGGAAGCCCAGTATCCTTGGCCTCTGCCATCTATGTACAAATGCAAGACATGGCTCTCCATGGGTTGCTGCTGTCTATACTGTGTTTGAGGCTGGAACTGGTAAATCTGCAAAGATTCAGGAAACAAGAACTAGCTAAAAGCAGCTTTTCTTGTTTGTCAAGCTAAAGGGTGTGACATAAGACCTGAAGAATAGCTGTTGATAGGGGCAAGATCTTAATTTATTGTCATTATATGTTTCTAACCCTCCCTATGTGATGTATACATTATTATAATTTGGTAAAATTTACTGAAATGAAACCCAGGCCTGGGTTTACCTTTCTGAAGTGTTCTCTCTTCTCTGTTCAGACCAAAAAGCAGCCGTGGTATAACAGCACGCTAGCTTCACGACGCAAGCGGCTCACAGCTCATTTTGAGGACCTAGAGCAGTGCTATTTTTCCACCAGGATGACGCGTGTCTCGGGTGAGTTCCTCTTGTGTGGCATTTGGCTTCTGACATGAGTTAACTCTCACAGTGCCTCCTCGCCCTCAGAAAGGGCTCACTTTTGGGAGAGCAGCTTTGACTTCTTTGCCATGGGAAAGTTGCTATACGTATTTGTGTATTACTCGGATCATCCCATTTTGCTTTTCTAGACCAATCTTTGAAGTTGCTAAATTTAGAAGGTTTAATCCTCTCACTTTGGAGGGGCAGCTGTGTTGCTTTGTAATCCTGTACTGTGAAGGGCACAACTCACAGTAAACAATTTCACTTGTGCTCGTTCTGAAGATGTGAATGCTTGAAAGCAGTGGTTGGGTTGTCTTTCTACTACATGTGGGTATAAACACATCGCTGTTGGAATACTACAGAGGTATAAACATAAATTGATAAATTCTCCTGTATTTAGCATGCAATAGGACACTTGGAGGTTATCCTTTATGTTGTCTAGATTGAGTCTTGGTTAACAAATGACTCGGAGCATAGAAGCTGAATGTGCAGCAGTGGTGTTGTCCCATGGGGCACACCTTAGATTTAAGGCTTGTTTTGTAGAATTAGAAGCTGTTTTCACAATTGCCTGGATTGCCTCATTCATAATTGAGTAACAGCGTGACAGCAGCTAGAGTAATTGTTACCTAGTGGATGGATGGTTCTTAATTGCATGACAAGATTCTCTTAAGAAATGAACAGGTCAAATGAACGTGTCTAGAGGGTGAGGAGGAAGGGTTGATCTGTGGTCCCTCTGGGGAAGAAACCAGCTTTAGGAAAAAAGTTTCAGGCAATGGACTGTGACAGGCAGGAGATTTGCAGCACCAAGCTGTGAGCTGGAGCTCATACGGAGAGTGACAGACTGCAATGAGGAGCAGCCAGCCCTCAGGGGGATGGGAAAAACCTCCTAGGGACAGGAGGGAACCAGGTAGAGGTTACCGCGGCAGAACATTTTTACTTGTAGGTTTGGAAGGCAAGGTCTGACCTCCCAGGACGCTGAGGTCAGAAAGACAGCTAGAGTAGAAACCTCCACTTGTTTTCTTCCACGAATTTAGTTTGGTTTATCCACTCTAAAATAAACAAAAATGAAGCTTGATTTTTTTTTTTAATTTAAAAAGTAAATTGACTTTAAGTTCAAAGGGTGCAACGTGTTTTAGGGGAGCTCTCAGATTATGTCTACATCTTCAGTCTACTTCAGAGCAGTGACTGACTCAGTTCTCATCATGCACAGCAAAATGATTTTAAGAGGGAAGGCAGCATGTTGAGAGGGTGCTTCAGTAGCTGGAAGATGGGAGAAGCCAGTTGAACGTGGCCAGCCAGTCTCCTGTGAAGTGCTAGCAAGTGCTGTGCAGACCATAGTGCTTCACGGATCACACTGAGATGCTTTCATGTGGTGCTAACTTGGTGATGCATAACTGTGTTTATGTTAAAATAATACTTATTAACCAAGGATCACAAATGGGGCTCTTCCCAGCATTCCCTCCTAGAAGGCATCTTTCTTCGTAATTGGAACTATAAATATGAATGTGGTGAAACTATTTTTTTGTGTTCATATGCATCAGCTGCACCAGTGAATTTTTTTCTGAAATAAGGGATAACCTGTGATACCTGATCAAGTTTTCTTAAGTCA